AAGTTCTTTTTTTTTTTTTTATTTTTTTTTTTTTTTTTTTTTTTTGCTGTGCTGCCGGATGCTTCTTCCTTCCTTCCAGGAGTGGGCGGTGTTGACGCTTGTTTGCCAAAAACCTTCTGCAGTTGTTGCGATGTTTACAGACCAAAGGTTAGAAGATGTTCTCCAACAACGTGTTGTTTGTTTGGAGTAAACAGAATAATTTAGTGTCAAAAACAGATGCTGCTGTCGCCAGGCTGGGATTAGCATAACTTCATAAATGAAAAAAAAAAAAAAACACAGACTGAAATGGATTAATGTCTAAAAAAAATAAATGTTGATTCAAACCAGCAGCAGCGGCTGAGAAAAAGATTTAAAAAGAAACAAAAAAGGGAAATTCCAAAAGATTAATTTTTAATCCTGGTGTGTAGACGAGGCGGGGGGGGGTGTTGGGAGGGGCTCCTCCTCTCACCCCTCCCTTCACTGAGTCTGGTTGACAACTTGATTGACTTTTATCTGTTGTTTCTTCTTGTTGAAGAAAAACCCAGAGACGACTGTGTGTCAGAGTCAGGGCTTTGAAGTCATGGGTTCTCAACCTGTGGCTCCTGAGCCACATGCAGCTCTTTAGCTTTTTTTTTTTTTGTAATTGTCCAAATATAACCTAACCTGTGGTTCATCAGCCCAGTATCAGCAGGGGGTGACAAAAACACTTTTTTCAAATGTTAAACTAAAATATTTGCGATATTTTGGTTCCATGATACCGTATCAATATCCTCCATCAGTGTATTGATATTTTTTTTATTCCAAATTCCCAGTATATGATTGTAGTGTGTGTGTGTGTGTGTACTGCATACTCTGTACTCTGAGTACTCTGTGGTGAAATTCATCATCGCAGCAGATTTATTTTTCTTCTGATGATAAAACAGGAAAAACAACCAAAACTGTCTTTGTACTTCAATATGAAGTATTACTGCAGTACACAAAACTTCAACAACTACCACCAGGTGTCTCTCTCTGTGAATTTTATTTGTTGTAAAATGATAAAAACTGTGTTGAAGGCTGCAGACCCCTGCAACAGGAAATGCATTATGTTTGATGTGAGGTGCTGACGAAACACAAAAACCTGTATGTGTGTGTGTGTGTGTGTGTACATGCAAACAACAGGACAGTGTGTTCATTTACATGCTGTCCAGAGGACACAGGACTTTTCCCCTCCGTCCTGAATCTGTGTCGTTGACGTGCACGGCTGAACGCACGTGCACTCACCGCCGTGACGAACTGTGAGCGTGCACGTGGACCGTAACTCACATGCACGTTCTCTTTAGCAACATAAACTTGGCACCGAACGCTGGAGAAAAAGGAGCACATTCTTTCCCATCAGTCCTGAAAATATAAAACAACATTCCAGAGGAATTTGATTGGTTCTGGTGTCGGTGACTCGTCACTCGTTCTCCGACGGCCGAGTGACATCACAGAGAGGCGGCCGCGTCACCGACACGTGAACTTCACTCGACGTCACTGCAGTTGGATCAACCAAAAGAAAAACGGGAAAAAAAATTGTGGGCGGGGCTGCATGGTCAGGAGGAAGAGTCAAAGAGTCAGCCGCAGATTCACACACAGGGAGTTGGCCAGAAGGTGGAGCAGTTCTGTCGAATGGAGCAGGTGGACGTTCACCACGTGGTTCTATCATCTGGCGTAGTGTTTGATGTAATCTTGAACTTTATTCCGGAAATCCTCCTGCAAAGAAAAAAAAAGGAAAAGTCAGTGTTTTTTTTTTTTTGTTGTTGCTACGAAACAATTCTTGAAAAAAACTTTGAGGGCATGAGGCCCCCTAGTGGCGTGAGGCCCTGTTCGGTTCACACATCCCTCAGACTATTCTCAGCCTCTCACCCTCTGGGAACGCACTTCCTCTTCCCTCACGGCTCCAGATCTTCTCCTCTCGCTCACTCCTCTTTTTTTTTTTTTTGCTCTGTGTTTATTTCAGACACCATCTTCACTCGGCCCATCAATGACCTTTGACCCTTCCCATCACTCCATATTTAACCCCCGTCCCTGGGTCATCCGTAGGCTCAGTGACCTCTCCTCTCTCCTACCAATTAGGCCGCAGCCCACATCACCACAGTTGGGCCACGGTCGCTCTGCGATCCTGTGGAACGATTTCCTTTGTCGGTCTATAGGAGAAATGCAGAGCCTAACAATACGACGGCGTAGCCCGACACGTCGTAAATCACGCTGGAATAATTGCTGCCACAGAACCTACAGCTTTACAGCGAAAGGAACGTCCAGAGTCATGTAGGGGGAAAAATGAGCTGAAGGAGGCGCTCTGGTTATGAATAAATGAGAGAGAGATAGAGAGAGACTCACTCACTCACTCTGTTTCTTTCTTTGATTCCTGTCAGCGCATCAGTTCGTGTTCAACTAAACAGGCACGTTTGGTTGGGTTAGGAAAACGTTAGTTAACAATGGTAGATATCGGTGGTTTTCAGGGTGGGAGGTGCATCCTCTAGGAGGCGCCATTCCACATTGAGGGACGTATGAGATGAGGGGAAAAGAAGGGCTCCATAGTTGTGCTTTTGGTGGGTCTGCCCCACAGGACCCTGCTCCCCACATTTAGAGGCACTGCTTCAGCTGACGGATAAGTTTAGCTTGTTAGCTCAGATGTCTATATTTTTTTTTTCCCCCCTTTTTCGAATCATTTTTGGAATGTTTTTCAGAC